ATTTTTGGGCCATTTTTTGGAAAAAACCATGGGCTATAGTACAGTGATTTTTTTCAGATTTTGACCGATTTAAAAAATAGTCATAGCTTAAAAAATTTAAGTCGGAATCAGCTCAAACTTGCTACATAGCTTAAGTACATCAATATGTATTAGAAAATGTAATAAAAATTAGGGGTAATTTTTTTAGCCATTTTTCAGAAAAAAGCATGGGCTATAGTACAGGGATTTTTCAGATTTTGGCCGATTTCTAAAAATGGTTGTAACTTGAAAAATTGAAGTTGGAATCAGCTCAAACTTTCTACACAGCATAAGTACATCAATATGTATCAGAAAATGTAATAAAAATTGGGGGTAATTTTTTAGCCATTTTTCAGAAAAAAATCATGGGCTATAGTACAGGGATTTTTTCAGATTTTGGCCGATTTTTAAAATGGTCATAACTTCAAAAGTTTTTGTTAGAATTAACTGAAACTTTCTACAAATTTTTGTCAAGTTTTTAAAGTTATAAAATCATACTTTTCTCTCTCAATTCTGATATTTCTAGTCTAAGAACACACTCAAGATAACGCACATCATAGTCCCTAAGCAAATGGGTAAGGCTGACTCATGTGAGACTATGAAAGAGGAGGAACTCTTTGATGCTCTTGACAAACACGACCTCATTACTGTAGGATGGATACATGTAAGACATCCTCTCTCCCTCTCTCTCCCTCTGTCTGTCTCTCTGTCTGTCTCTCTGTCTGTCTCTTTGTCTCTCCCTCTCTCTTTCTCCTCCTCTCTTACATGTATGTACAATCAAAATCTCTTACAATATTAAACCCACCAATCATTGATGTACATGCATGTTCATACTTATAATAATGACTGTCTAATAGTGTGTCTATACAAAATACAAGCTGATTTTTTATAGAAATAATACCACCAATTTAATTCACTTACAATACAGTGCAGTAGCTGTCCTTGTATCTTTATTTCCTGTTACCATTCAAGTGTCTCTTATACTCCACCACTTGTTTTTATAAGGTCATAGTTTCACTATTTGTCTGTTTACAGTGCAAAGATAATAATGATGATCGATAATTTGTACCTATCATAATAGTCTATATCATTAAAGAGGAATCATATTACACTCACATACACACACACACTGTATCTACTATAAGCATTAGCCTCTGTATAATGGACACTTTAGGGCAAGGTAATGTCTCTGTTATACAGAGGTGTCCTTTATGTGGAGGTTCATTTTATACAGTAAGGAATGTAATTGGTACACTAGGTGCTGTCCGTTAAATGGAGGTGTACGCTATAGCTGACAGGGTCTATGCTGTGTGTGTCTTTCTGATCATTTATGGATTGGAATTCAATTCATCTACTACTGGAGGATACATGAATACTTATGCCTTTTGTGGATATTTTTAATAATTGTACATCATTTTAAGCATATCACCTTATCTCTCCCACTCTCTCTCTCTCTCTCTCTCTCTCTCACCTATATGTTGCAGCTACTGCTGTTCATGTTTTATAAACTCCTATCCTTCTAAAGAGAGACAGACAGACCAGACAAACAGGCAGAGAGGAAGTGCAACAATGTATTTAATGATATTCATTGCTTTAAATAGTGCGCCCCACGATAGCCTTTTTGATTAAAGGAGCATTTAAACTCTGGAGATTATATCTACTGACATGGCTGAAATTTGTGGTTGTTCACCAATTTTTGAAAGGAACTTTCAGTTCCTGAAATGAACTAAATTGTAATGAAACTTAATCAAACTTTCCATGTTGATATTCATGTACATACGTATACTATACAGTATGTGCTACTGTACCATATACGTGATAATTTATGTGGTGTGTTGATTTTCTTTATTTCCAGGCTCACTTTAAATTTACAAAATTCAAACCACTTCTAATGCCATTTTATGTACTATGCCGGAACGCCTAAGTTAGGCTCAGACGAATATTATTTATGAACATGAACATTTTAGTAAAAACACAAAATTTAAAACACTCGAAAACTTGAGCGTACATGTATATGGTATACATACTATATAGCACTCTATTTTGACAGCGCTTTATTTTGGCAATTTTGCTATAAAATTGTAATTGGCGGTTTTTAATCTGGCGATTTTTGTCTACATGTGCATTACTAAGCATGTGCATTAATGATTGGCAGTTTTAATATTGGCGATTCCGCTGGCAAACCGCCAATCGCCAAAAATAAAACTCCACCAAATTAAAGCATTATATGTATAGTTTAAGGTAGCATACCATAAATGATAGTAAGAACGTGCTATCTACTGTCCTGAGGCTCAGACGAATGCTAATTTACGAGCATCCACATTTCATTGAAAACACAAAATTTGAAACACTCGAAAACTTGAGCTTATATGGTATACATAGTTTAATATGACATACCATAAATGATAGTAAGAGACGTGCAAGCTACTGTCCTTAGGAGTGGTAGTTGCTAGTGTGTAATTAACTGTTACTTGGCATGTGTAAATGAGTAGCTATCATAACAGGACACTACTCCCACTGGAGGCTACAACGTACACTCATAATACACTACTGATGGGAACAAGATTAAATAATCCTCTAGTACTTGTTCATGTGTGTTAATATTGAGGGACTAATCTGCATGTATTTTTATTAAATGATATTTAATAGTATAATATCTATGATACTTTGAGATTCTGTATTACATGTAAGTAAGATTCTCGTCATTTTTTAAAAGGTAATTTTACATTTTTATTGCTTGCTGTACAAGTATGGATGATCTTACATTATGTTTACAGTATAGTCTCTATTAATGGACACTCTCTATAGCGTACGCCTCCATTTAACGGACAGCACCTAGTGTACCAATTACATTCCTTACTGTATAAAATAACCTCCACATAAAGGACACCTCTGTATAACAGAGACACTACCTTGACCCAAAGTCTCCATTATATAGAGGCTAGTCTGTACATGTACACGCACCTTCTTACTTAATGCTTTAAAAATGTGATAGAAACATCAACAAGTAGGCATGTTATTGTTATTGATGAAGCATGTGATTTTACGAGCCATTAATTCCATAGCTGATCATCTTGTATTTTCCTGTTGTTTCTCGGGAAACATTTTAAAATGCAAAATGTAATAATTATTATTATAAAAACAGCCAGCATACCTTCTATATATATTCAATTACACACACACATTCACTGTTCATTACTTTAAGTACATCGTGTCTTTAAGTAAATTTCCCTATACTTAGGTACATTATTTTCTCTCTCTCTCTCTGTCTTTTATTAGTTTATTCATCTTGTCTTGTACATGTACATGTCATCCTACACTTAGCGTGGTTTGGGTTGTCGTGGTAACGGGCCCAGCAGGTTTATTAGTGTGGTGGATACTAATGGGATATGGTTTAGACTTTTTCTCCCACCTTCTCTCTCTCTCCTCCTCCTCTCTCTCTCTCCCTCCCTCTCCCTCTCTGTTAAGAAGGTTAATTATCAGTATAGTAGTAAAGTGGCTGAAAGTGAAAAATTGTGTGATTTCTTAGAATGACAATAAAAACAAAACCTTTTGTCACGCTCACTAGTACATACATATACATGTACAATCAGTATAAATGACATAATTATTATTATTAATTTATTATCTTAAATATAAATGAGACACGGGAGACATGCAGACAGTTGGCTATTATGATGATGATATTATTATTCAGTCATTATTCTCAATAAATGAATTAAGAGCATTACTAGTACATAATATACAGTTTAATGTACATGTACATGTACATGTACAGTGCAGTATTTGTCATGGGTCAGTTATGCTGTGGTGAATGAGGTAATGGGCTAATGTAATATCCTCAGTTGATTCTCTCCCTCCCTCTCTCTCTCTCTCATAGTGACCTTTCTTATGAAATGTCCTCTACTTGTTATGTGACCTCTCCTTCCTTCCTTCTCTAATTCTTTTAAAATATTCTATTGAAATAAGGTACAAGTGTAGCTTCTATCTTGCCTCTATATAATGGACACTTTGGGTCAAGGTAGTGTCTCTGTTATACAGAGGTGTCCTTTATGTGTAGGTTATTTTATACAGTAAGGAATGTAATTGGTACACTAGGTGCTGTCCGTTAAATGGAGGTGTACGCTATAGAGAGTGTCCATTAAGAGAGGCTATACTGTATTTATATGTACATGTACATGTACATTTTTAAAGGCTAATTTTCCCCAGCTGCAATTTAAAATAAACACACTTGCATGTACGTGTATACACACACGCTCACGCACAGGCTAATAATTTGTTTATCAATTTGTTCGGTACATATACTTACGTCTCACATACAGAGATATCATGTGTCATGTGAAGAGAGTGAGAGTGAGTAGCAGAAGGAGATGAGTAATAGTTTATGAGTACAAGTAATAATTATATTTTAAAATAGTCATGCACATACATGTACATGTACATGCATGTACACGTGTTTAAATATTGGTATGATTGTATTCATTAATAGTTTAAGGATTTTCAAATGTACATATGCTTTTAAAATTATCTTCTCTCTCTCTCTCCCCCTCTCTCTCTCTCTCTCTCTCTCTCTCTCTCTCTCTCTCTCTCTCTTTCCAGACTCATCCTTCTCAGACTGCCTTCATGTCAAGTGTTGATCTTCACACTCATTATTCTTATCAGATTATGCTACAAGAGGCCATTGCTATAGTTGTTGCACCCAAATATGACAAGTAAGAGAGAGAGAGAGGGACAGAGAGAGAGAGGGACAGAGAGAGAGAGAAAGAGAGAGAGAGAGAGAGAGAGAGAGAGAGAGAGAGAGAGAGAGAGAGAGAGAGAGGGACAGAGAGAGAGAGAGAGAGAGATTCATGTACATATACATGTTCACTAGTATTTATTAATTGTTTTTAAGAGACAGTAATAAATGTTCCATTCCTCTTACCCACTCATACACTGATATATACCTCACATACTTCATACCCCTCCACTGTATTATCATGTATTGTATACATTACATATAAACACTGTATAAACCTTAATTCCATTACAGTCCATTAGCGATGAGATTGTCATTGTCCTAACAATTTTATACACTCATACTGTCCTAATGGCATTAGATCACATATAAATTGTCATTTAATACAGTTAATGTATGCGATGTACTTTATTGCATTATTGGCTGCATTTCTTTATTTAAAATATTATAATTATTTTAAAAAGTACATGTACATACATTGTATATGTATAATATAGTTTAAGGTAACTTTTTAATCGTACGAAATAGTTAATTTTTTGTTGAAGGATTTTTTAAAATTCTAAGTTCAAGTGATTATACTATCATTATTGATAATAATAATTATTGTGAAAGAAAAAAGCTGAAATTATTAAATTTAAACCACCGATACATGTCAAATTGTTATTATTATTATTGTTGTTGTTGTTGTTGTTTTTTGTTGTTATTATTCTCGAGCTATTATCCCTAATGTGTTATTGTATCTCATTATTATTGACGCCGCTATTATTATTATTATTATTATTATCCTTGTTTTTATAAGGAAATATTTCACTCGTTAATTGAACGTGTTACATATTTAGCTGTTACTTAGAATCTATAGAGCCAACACTCTTCTATTAATAATAATAATGATATTTAGTAATTATTATTAGTACATCACTAGTGCATTACTGGAGTGTACTGGTACATTAGGACACCTGCAACTTATGAAATCTTCCCTCCATCCCTCCCTCCCTCTCCCTCTATTACTGTGTATTATATAAGAGGCACATATTTCAAGTCATTATATACAAGAACATTTACAAGTAGTTCAAGTTGCATTTTGTGTAGTGTAGATGAAGTATTAAGCTTTGTTTGTTTTGAAAAATTGAACAATTTCCTGATGCATATTGATGTACTTATGCTGTGTAAGAAGTTTGAGCTGATTCCAATTTAAATTCTTCAAGTTATGGCCATTTTAAGAAAATGCCAAAGTTCTAAAAAGTACCCAAGGCTATAGCCCATGGTTTTTCTTTAAAATGGCCAAAAAATCACTCCCGATTTTTATTACATTTTCTGATACATATTGATGTCCTTATGCTGTGTAGAAAGTTTGAGCTGATTCCGACTTCAATTTTTCAAGTTACGGCCATTTTTAAAAACTAATAATTGCTATTGGTACCTGTGTGGTTATTGTAGCATATGAAAGCTACATTGTGAAACTACACTAGTAACATACCTAAACTTTAATTCCACAACTCTTTACTATGCAAATAATCCTACTAGGGAAAAATATTAAATTATTATCATACACATGCCTCTTTACTAAGGACACCATTGGGCTCACACTACCTGTCCTTAATACATGTACAGTGTAGCCTCTTTATTAAGGACACCATTGGGCCCACACTACCTGTCCTTAATACATGTACAGTGTAGCCTCTTTATTAAGGACACCATTGGGCCCACACTACCTGTCCTTAATACAGAAGTGTCCTCATTTCAGAGGTACTTTTGTATAGGCTTGTACCAATTGGGACATTACAAAATGTCCTCATTATAAAGGTGTCCTTATTATAAAGGTGTCCTTATTCCAGAGGCTACACAGTGTAGTCTGTTAGAGCCATACTAATGCCACACATGCTCCAGCCTACTTAATCATCTCAAAGCTAATTACATTTAAACTCCAATGCCTCAAGACAGCTTTGAGTTCATACAAATACACTTTGGTCCACTCTATCAGACAGAACAGAGGCACCACACTCAGTCTTATATCACTCAACCATGTACTGATATGCATACATGTAACATGTACATGTACATTGTATATGTATTATGTGATTATGTGTATGTGTATGTACGTGTCATTAATATGTGACCATGTGTGCCTGTACAGAGGTCTTTTTGAACTGTCCCTACCTACATGTAGTGGGGAATGGCCACAAACCCTAAGTAGATCTGCAAGTACATGTATGTACATGTATACATGTTAATGGGTGCATATGTATCACGTATCATCTCCTTTGAGTGTGTGTGTCTGTGTACTTTGTGTAGTATTTGGTGTGTGTGCCTTTGGGGGTAATATATGGAGACTGAGAGTCTGCCATTGTCTCTTGATGGATTTATTAATGTGAAACTGTACAAGGATTATGGTTGAAGTACTGCCCACATTAAGCTTATAGGCTTAAATGTATTATTATTAATTTATTTATTATTATTATTAGATGAAGGTTAGATCCATTTGTTACTAATACAGTATAGCCTCTCTTAATGGACACTCTCTATAGCGTACACCTCCATTTAACGGACAGCACCTAGTGTACCAATTACATTCCTTACTGTATAAAATAACCTCCACATAAAGGACACCTCTGTATAACAGAGACACTTTCCTGTACCAAAGTGTCCATTATACAGAGGCTGGTCTGTACATGTAGTTCCTTCTCTCTGTTATCAAGTTCAATTAAAATTCCTTTCTCATAGTAGCGGATTTTCTTTCCTTTATTGGATGGAATAATGTGTAGCTAATAATTGGCAGATAATTCAATTATCAATCATAATACAATGACTCTACTACACTCACTCTAATCACTACTACATATTCAATAATTATCGCGCCATGTAGCTTTACTATACAATTTAAAAAATCTGATATACATGTATTCTGCACACTCACTTATACATATTTTGGCTTTTTTACATGTGCATATGTATACCTTTGTATATCTCTGTATATCTCTGTATTTTCTAGTATACTTGTATCTATATACTAATGCCTAGCATATTTTGTATATTCTTTTATGCTCCTTTCGTTTCATTTTGCAATAATAATTATATTGTTGGAAGAACTGTCTTTAAAATTGGTTTTTAATATGTTTTTAATTCAAATACATGTACGTGTACGTGTACGTGCTTTGCTAACATGTGGTACATGTACACCCATCCTTTGACTTAAAAAACTAAAAAGGCAAAGATCCAATTAGATCGAGATAAAAATATTTAAATAAAAAGATTAAAGTCTAATCAGTGTATGATGATATGTACTGTAGCCACCAGACCTGCATTATGGTTGCTAGGAAGCAGACCAGGTGCTTATCAGGGAAATGGCTTCACCCAGTCTTCTACCCTGTCTGTCTTCACTTAATACATTTACACACACACACACACACACACATCAGTTCTGCTGTGTTTATGTTAAAAATTGTATTAAGTGTGTTTGTATGTTTGCTTGACTCTGATGCTGTGGGCTTCTGTAAACAGCCTCTAGGGGGGTTAAGAGAGAGAGAGGGAGAGGGGGAGAGAGAGAGAGAGAGGGAGGGAGGGAGGGAGAGAGAGAGGGAGAGAGAATGTGAAAGTGTCATTAAACAAATAGAAGGATAAACATTTGCCTTAATCTCTCAATTCTAATAGCATCATCTCTTCACATTTTTCATTTTAAATCTACTTAATAAAATATTAAATAATAAAAATAGTCTTAAATGGTGGGAAAGCTATATCTTTCTACAGGTGCTATATAAATCCAGCTATAATGTAACGCTATAGCTAGAGGCAGTTATATAAGGGCAGGTGCACTAGCTAAAGCAGAATTGTTTATTTCCTGCTTGTCATAACAAATTATGATACTTATACTCATTCTTACACTAACAGTGTTTACACTAAAGAAATCATTATCTAATTTATGTACTATAATAATGATCTCCCCCCTCTCTCTCTCTCCTTAATATAGAGTAGGCTTTTCTTTGATGCACCATTTTACATGTCCAATTGTCAATTTTTTGGCAATTTTGCTACATGTACATGCAGGGCCGTAGCCAGGAACTTAAAACAGGGGGTTCGGAAATTGCTGCGCGCTTCGCGCGCAGCAAAAATTTTGCCGAAAAACGGGCGTGGTTGGTAGGCGTGGTCTTAATTTACTCATCTCGGCCATGTGCTGACTCAGCTAAAATGGCCATCTGTGCTTCTCGCTGTTGCCAAAATGCTAATCCTGCTTTTGCAGTGCTGTTCTTCATGACAGGAGCTAATCTAAAACTTTTTTGCAGCTACAACAGGGGGTTCGTCCGAACCCCCCAAACCCCCCCTGGCTATGGGCCTGACATGTACATGTATATAAATGCATTTTTCCATTTTTTATTCCACCATTTTGTATCTAGTTATATGTACATGTATACAGTATAGTCTCTCTTAATGGACACTCTCTATAGCGTACACCTCCATTTAACGGACAGCACCTAGTGTACCAATTACATTCCTTACTGTATTAAATAACCTCCACATAAAGGACACCTCTGTATAACAGAGACACTACCTTGACCCAAAGCCTCCATTATATAGAGGCTACATTTAATTCCTATTATTATTATTATAAAATATATTAATTTACATTAGACACTGTGCAGTTTGTATAGCATTCTGTGATTATTAATATATAAATATTATTACTAAATTATTATTATTATTATAATTATCATAATTATCTCACCTTGACTGTCCCAACTACAATGTAAATGTATAGATGGACACTTATCACTCTGCTGTAATAATAATAATAATATTGATAATAATAATAATAAATAAAGTGTCAAAATATCGTGTATATAAACAACGCTGCTGGTTATTGTTTGCATAGAGAGATAAGGGTTTAAACAATATACTAACAATATACTAATAATATACTATGATATACTAATAGTGTACACATTGACGTAGACTGTAAAAGTGTGCAAGAGAAAATATACTTAATAATATACTAATAGTATGCGTATTGATATACTGAAGTATGCTAATAATGTACTAATAGTATGCGTATTGATATACTGAAGTATGCTGATAATATACTGGAATCCTTATACCCAATGACATGTGAAATAGCTCATAAAGGTTACTATAATGTAATCCTTTAATACAATTAAATAATTAAATCCGAAGGAATACTCACATACATGTAGTTGGTTCCTCCTGAATGTGTGTGTCAAAATACACCCACTCTCTCTCTCTCACACACAAACTTCCATGTAAATGTACATGTACATGTATAGTTTCTTTTAATGGACACTCTCTATAGTATACACCTCCATTTAATAGACCTCACCTAGTGTACCAATCACATTCCTTACTGTATAAAATAACCTCTGTATAACAGAGACACTGCCTTGACCCAAAGTGTCCATTATATAGAGGCTAGTCTGTACATACAGATCATCTCTAGTAGAAGAAAGCTAATCTTTTATTTTTATCTCTGTCTCTCTATATAGTTGCATGCTTCATAAGTTAATCAATGATACTAATGTTATTATACTAACGATCAGTATTATTGTGTGATTATATCCTACTAATATGTACACGCATATACATGTACATATATATACACATTGATTGGACGACACTCGTAATAGTAAAGGAGATAATGAAAGAATGTGTATTCTGATAGTAATTATCATGCACACACACACACACACACACACACACACACAGAGTGTGTAGTTCTTGTACTGTGTAAACTGTTGAATTCAGGGGAGAGGAAGAGAAGAGAGGGACAGAGAAGGAGAGTGAATAATGGAACAATGAGTTATGAAGTCAGCTAGCAGCTGGAATTATTTCAGTATCAATCAGTTGATGTCTCATTAGGTTTATAAGTAAAAGGGAACCACATTTTATGGGAGATATTTTACAGTAGCTAAATTATAAAGAATAGTAGAAGCCATGTATCTTAGCTTTTAAATATTTATTTTATGGATAACAGCAACCAATGCTTGTATCATAGTGATCTAAACAATGAACAGTGCTTACCTAGCTTAGGCTCACCACTTAAATACACTATACTTTGTACATATAAAATACATGTACATGTACAAGTAGTACATGTAGTGTGTACATTTATAGTAGATGTGTTGTATGTGGAGTGTGTGACTGACCCTAGATCATATTCACAAGTTGATGATAGTAAAATATAGTAAGACACACCAGGTGGCATCACTATATCAGTCAGACTGCTGCTCTGGCATATGACACACTCTTTGTGATATCGTACAGTGTAGCCTCTTTATTAAGGACACCACACTACCTGTCCTTAATACATGTACAGTGTAGCTTCTTTATTAAGGACACCATTGGGCCCACACTACCTGTCCTTAATACATGTACAGTGTAGCCTCTTTATTAAGGACACCATTGGGCCCACACTACCTGTCCTTAATACAGAGGTGTCCTCATTTCAGAGATACTTTTGTATAGGTCTGTACCAATTGGGACATTACAAAATGTCATCATTATGAAAGTGTCCTTATTATAAAGGTGACCTTATGGCTACATGTATAGTCCAGTTTCTATTAAGAGGGGGAAGAGTGCTAAATGTAAAAGGAGGAGCAAGTGGTCATGTGCCTTTCTAATTTTAAAAAGAGGCAGACATGAGAGTGAGAAAGCAGTGCTGGTAGGAGGAGAAGTGAAGTGGTAATTTCAAAGAGGAGGAGGAGGTTTAAAGTGTCTATTAAATATTTGAGTGGTTTGTTAGCCTGGGCAAGGACATATGAGGATGGTTTCTGGTCTACAGGTAGGATGGAGGGGGAGGGGAGAGAGGGAGGAGAGAAAGTCTCTTATGAATACACAAGTGGTGCCAATGACTCAACAAAACCAACTCTATTAGTATTGTCTGGTGGTTGCTTAGCAACTTAGTCTGTAATGGAAGCCTATGGTATGTATGTGTGTACCTTTTATGCCAGCCCCAGGTTGGTACCAAGTGATAGCAATTAGAGGAATACTTCTCCTTCTCTCTCCCCCCCCTCTCTCTCTCTTGATCAAAAGCACACTTACTGTGTAGCCTCTTCAATAAGGACACCTTTATAATGAGGACACCTCTATAATGAGGACATTTTGTAATGTCCCAATTGGTACAAGCCTATACAAAAGTACCTCTGAAATGAGGACACCTCTGTATTAAGGACAGATAGTGTGGGCCCTTTATAAAGAGGCTATTATGTACACTCTTTGCCTCTGGTCACATTTCTTGTGTTAATTGTCTGTCATGAGATTAGCAGAATCACTCATTCATTAATTCTATAAAAAGGGAAAAGCTTCCCGAGCCATGACATATCTTGACCATATTGAGTGAATCACTTGTGTAATGGAGTAGTGATTACCAGTGGAGCATAGAGAAAGAGAGAGGGAGGGAGGGGGGAGAAACTGGGGAGCCCAATGTAGCAGATAATGAAGTTAGCAGAGATTGATGGATGTTATTAATAATAAGTGTTAGACCCAGCTGTAATGTTCCCTCCAAAAAAATCCATCCTTTGTATCAGATTCTTTAAATGTCACTTAGCTTTTCTAATAGTTTATTTTATACAAAGAAGATTATACAGTATGACCCTCTGTATATCCTTGTAATAAACTGGGCCCACATTACAAAATGTCCTTGTTATAAAAGTGTCCTAGCTAATTGTCAATAATATACTTTCTCTCTCTCTCTCCTGTTTCCTTGTATAACTTAAGTGTCTGATAGATAAGACTAGCCTTTAATCACTAGATAAATTATGAAAACTTCTCACACTTTCAAATCAAATATTTGTTTGTGTTTCTCAACTACTAGTGACTAGATAACACCATGCCTACCTCTCATCACTTCTCCCCAATGTCCCATTTCCTCCTACTCCCAGTAGGTGGTTTCCATAAGCCTGGGCTGCAGCCATTAGCTATTGTTATTATAATGCTATGAATATTAATATCAACCTCTTGAGAGCTCTACCCCCTTAAAGTTAGAGTCCATTAGCTAGTGCTGTCCCCCATAGACCTCAGCACATCCTCTATCTCATGCCCTCCCTTCCTATAATAGAGCTTATACACTGTATACTGTATGTACATGTACATGTATATACATGTATGTGTATATGTACATGTAGATCTTGTACTGTACATGTATATGTACAGTACATGTATGTAGTGTAGCTTCTATAATAAGGACACTTTTATAATGAGGACATTTTGTAATGTCCCAATTGGTACAAGCCTATACAAAAGTACTTCTGAAATGAGGACACCTCTGTATTAAGGACAGGTAGTGTGGGCCCAATGGTGTCCTTAATAAAGAGGCTACACTGTACATGTATTAAGGACAGGTAGTGTGGGCCCAATGGTGTCCTTAATAAAGAGGCTACACTGTACATGTGTTAAGGACAGGTAGTGTGGGCCCAATGGTGTCCTTAATAAAGAGGCTACACTGTACATGTATTAAGGACAGGTAGTGTGGGCCCAATGGTGTCCTTAATAAAGAGGCTACACTGTACATATATTAAGGACAGGTAGTGTGGGCCCAATGGTGTCCTTAATAAAGAGGCTACACTGTACATGTATTAAGGACAGGTAGTGTGGGCCCAATAGTGTCCTTAATAAAGAGGCTACACTGTACATGTATTAAGGACAGGTAGTGTGGGCCCAATGGTGTCCTTAATAAAGAGGCTACACTGTACATGTATTAAGGACAGGTAGTGTGGGCCCAATAGTGTCCTTAATAAAGAGGCTACACTGTACATGTATTAAGGACAGGTAGTGTGGACCCAATGGTGTCCTTAATAAAGAGGCTACACTGTACATGTACTATTATGTAGATTATTAATACCTTTATTCTTTTGTTAAAGCATGACTAGTTATAGCCCTCCCTACCTCCCTCCCTCTCTCTTTCATTTATCATGTATTAATGTACAGAACAATTGGAGCAGCCTTGATTCTTTATAGATAGAGAGAAAGAGGGAGGGAGGGAGGGAGAAAGAGGGAGAGGGGGTGACACTTTCACTTGTAATATAAAACCTCACTAAACTATAAGTCTGAACTACATTGTACATATATTATTATTATTATTATTATTATTATTATTGCTATTATTATTATTATTTTATCAATTAATTACCATAGTGATAGCTATACATGCAGTACAATTATCTGTGTGTCTGTCTGGTTAATTATTATTCTAGCTATTTAGTATGAGTCTGGTATGTGTATTCCTCAAATTCTTATCCTAACCAGTTCATATCTATGTCTCCCTTAGACTCCAGTATACTCTCTATGTCTACAACTCTTTCTCTCCATGTACATGTACCTCTATCTGTCTTTAATCTATTCTGTCTGTATCTCTCTCTCTCTCTTTCTGAATGTGACCCATTGATGAATTACTTACTATATCTATGAATGTTGATAGTGTAAGGCATTGGTTGTGTCAGCTTCATAAGATAAACTGCTAAGAGTTTAAGAATGTGTCCTTAGCAATAGCAGCTGCTTAGAGTGAGCGTGTCCCTCCTCTTCTCTGTCTGTATGCTGGAGTGTTTCTTGGAAGTCACATTCTATGTAATATAATGAATCAGTTGTTGTGATAACTGATATTTAATGGGCTTTGTTTTTCTAATCTCTGTCCTTTCTCTCCCTTTCTCTCTCTGTCTCTCTCTTTGTCTCTCTCTTCCCCCTCTCTCTCTCTCTGTCTCTCTGTCTCTCTCTTTCTGTCTCCCTCTCTCTCTCCCCCAGGGTTGGTAATTTCACTCTCACTCAACCCCACGGTCTCAATTATATCGGTAGATGTTCCGGTAAAGGGTTTCACACGCACCCAAAAGAACCTCCCTTGTATGAGGTAAGAAGTTTACTGAGTAGTATACTGAGTACGGACATAGTATACTGAGTACGGACATAGTATACTGAGTATGCTAGCACACTAATAATGGAACTTTTTAGTACTCTTAATACATGTACACTAATAATTTACTTATAATATACTAATAATATACCAATAATATACTGATTGCTTCGTTATTGGCTGTCGTATGTGTGAGGTATATCTTTTGTGTCCTTGTAAGTCGGTTCCCAGGGTTGTCATGGAAACCTCATTACTCCCACATTAAGAGAAATTCCATGGGCAGCAGTAATTGGATTAGTTGATTAATTAGAGATATTCTGATAAAAACGAGTGATGTCATTATTATCATTATTATTGATATTATTATTATTATTGTTGTTGTTTCTTGGATATAACAGGAAAAGCTTTAAAATTCTTGTACTTTGCACTTTTCATTGTTTTTTTTTGACAAAAGAGAGAGAGAGAGGGGGGAGAGAGTTCTTAATCCAGTCCTACTATGATTGCTACTGTCTAAAATGCCTCAAATTTCTTTGCCATGTAGTTACACTATTCAACATTGTGTCTTGATAATGTATCAATGTATTAGGGACTTTTCTAAATAGAAAAAGATGAGGATTATGCATGTGTAACTTTAAAGAAATAGAGAGAGGAATGTCTACTTGATGTAGATATGTACCTACATGTGTACATATTGTACAGGACATACTGTGTGTGTATGTACTGTATGGTAGCTCACATTAGGAGAGAGAGGGAGGAGGAGGGAAGGAGAGAGAGAGGGAGGGAGAGAGAGAGGGGGGAGAGGGAGAGAGAGGAGAGAGAGAGAGAGAGNGAGNANGCAGGTCTCATTGCATACATGTACTGTACTTGCTCTCTCATAAATGATGTTTGTGTCTGTCTTCTTCATTAACAAGTGGATCTCATTGTCTCTCATGCCATTGAACTGGCAGACAGGGCTACCATAATTACTTAAACTTCCCCCCTCTCTCTCTCCCTCTCCCTCTCTCTCTCCCTCTCCTTCCCTCTCTCTCTCTCTTCCCTCTCTCTCCTCTATTTACAATCATTATAAACA